AGAGATTGTCCAATGATTTCTGCATTCTGTTGGGTCACCTCTCTTTGGAATGGGCACAAATATGGATCTCTTCCAATCAGTTGGCCAGATAGTTGTTTTCCAAATTTCTTGGCAGAGATGCGTGAGTGTCTCCTGTGCCGCCTCAATTTCTTGAAAGATTTCAATTTTTATTCCATCATTTCCTGGTGCCTTGTTCTTTGCCAATTCCTTCAATGCACCTTGGACTTCCTCCCTGAGTCTCATTGGCTCTTGATCATATGGTACCTCTTGAAATGGTTGAACATTAACCATTTCCTTTTGGTACAATGACTCTGTATTCCTTCCATCTTCTCTTGATGCATTCTACATCATTCAACGCTTAGGAATTTTTAATTCTATCTTTCCCTGAAATAACAAAAACCAAACAAAACAAAGTAAAACCCACTGGCCAAAAAATGGATTGGAAAATGCTGGTGCTTTGAAAACTGCCATTGTTGTTGTTGTGAAGTGCCACTGAGTCTGTTCTTTCCCATAGCAACCCTCTATAGGAACAGTTGGTGAGCTTGAACAACTGACCTTGCATTTCAAATGGCTTTCAGCCTGGCACATTAACCCACAGCATGACACCAGGACTCCGAAAACTGCCATACTGAACCTCAAATTGTGGGGGACATTTGAATACATGTTTTCCTATGTCCTGTTATGGAGAATGCAGAAGCATTTGCATAGTCAATTCAGTTCCTATGGACCCACCCCAGTCTGCTGAGATAGAGAAAGGGCCGAGGACACAAATATCCTAATAAATCTGAGAGATAAAAACACCAAAGGGAAAGAGAGTTTACAAAGAAATATGTGTTAACAGGCACAAACAGGTAAGAAGTCAGCTACTAATTGAAAGGTGGGCAGTCTGAATCCATCCACAGGTGCTTTGGGAGAAAAGACTGGCAATCTATTTTCAAAAGGTCACAGCCATGAAAACCCTGCCTTAGTTATCTAGTGCTACTATAACAGAAATACCAAAAGTGGATGACTTTAACAAACAGAAACTGATTCTCTCAAAAACTGTTATTGTTAGGTGCCATTGAGTTGGATCCAACTCATGACTCCAAATAGTGTTTCCTAGGAGCGGTTGGTGGATTTGAACCAACAATCTTGTGATTAGCAGTCCAGTGCTTATCCTACAGGGCCACACCGGGACTCCTCTCACAGATTAGGAGGCTAGAAGTCTGATTTCACAGTACTAGCTCTAGGGGAAGGCTTGCTATTTGTTGGTTCACAGTTCATAAGAAGGTCCTTGTATCTTTTTAGCATCTGTGAGTTTGGGGTTCTTTGGAGAGACCTTCAAGTGTCTTGGCATCAATCTTCCCCTGAATTTAAAAAGTTCCCAGTGCAGGAGCCTTGGGTCCAAAGATGTGTTCCACTCCCGGCTTTTCTGTCTTAGTAGTAGTAGGTCCTGCTTCTTTCTTCTGGTGTCTCTCTCCTTTTATCTCTTATGAGATACAAGGTAATGTGGGCCACTCCCCGGGGAAATGCTCCTTACATCAAATCACAGCTGTGATCTGAGTAATGTTGTTGGATCCCAGTCGAATCCTCTCACAACAGGTTAATTAATCACATCAGAGAGGATCATTACATAACTGCCAAATTACATTGCTAGAGAACTAAAAAACCACTGGGAATCATGGTCAGCCAAGTTGGCAGCTATTTTGGGAGGGTACAATTCAATTCATGACAAACCCTATGGATGGAACCCAGTTTTCTGGAGCATGGAGTTTGGATGGGCCCAGAGATAATCTTTAAATCTTAAATCAACAAAATCCCCTGAAGTCTTCTTAAACCCAAATAATAGTTTAGCCTAAGTAATAAAGACCATCTGTTTCAAGCATTATGCTCTGTAAGATCTATCAAACTGACAACAGCTACTTCAAAGATTAGAAAGAAATCTTAGCGGTCTGCGAGTTTACATTATTGGGAAAGGACCAACTTAAGAAAAGAAGAGTGAGAATGGTTGCACAAACTGAAGAATGTAATCGATGTCACTAAATTGTACACATAGAAGCTGTTGAACTGGTGTGTGTTTTTCTATGTGTATTTGTCTTCTTGTTGTTAGGTGCCGTGGAATCAGTTCTGACTCACAGTGACCCTATATAGGATTTCCAAGGAACTGTGAGTTAGAACCGACTCAAGCTGGTGGGTTTGAACTGCTGACTTCGTGGTTCGCAGTCCAGTGCTGATACTACAGCGCCACAAAACAAGTGAACTCAACTACATATTTTTCAAAAATCCAAAGCCCCTAGGAGCACATTTCTACTCAGAAATACATGGGGTCTCTATGAGTCAGAATCAACTTAACAGTAACTGGTCTTTGGTTATTTGAGAGCACACAAATGACCAAACACAGATTACACATGTAAGCAAGGAGACCTGTTTGTGCTGGTTAATGAGAGGCATCTCCATGTCTTGACTGGGTGATGCCATCAGCTGCCTTCGCTGGGGTGTGGATGCTGAAGCCTTCTGCTTGTTCCGGCACATGCAGACCAAGAAGAAAAGGCACGCGACGACCAAGGGAATTGCAATGCTTGGAACCAGTATATAGAGAATTCCCATTCTGCTGCTGTCTCGGGGACCTGTGAACAATAACAGTTTCATGACTTTTCAGAAAAGTCCCTTTTGCAACTCTTTAAGTCCTCCACCAGTCCACTCCCCATCTCCAACAACATAGTAAATGTAAGTAGACAAAATTACAGGTTGAATCTAAAAAAAAAAAAAAAACCCAACAAAACCAGTACACCTAAAAATGAACATCTTGCTGTACCTTTTTAAATATAACCCCAAACCTCCCGCTATGGAAATAAATCGATATAGCATAAAAAACTGAACTTTAAAGCTTGTTGTAGTTAAATACCATTGAATCAGTTTTGACTCATAGTGACCCTGTATAGGATTTTCAAGGAATGGCTGGTAGATTTGAACCTTGTGGTTAGCAGTCCAGTGCTTATCCTACAGTACCACATCAGATCTCAAAATATTAATAATAATCACACTTATTTTTCTCTCCTAAAACTTGAACGCCATTGGCAATAGGTTCTCTGTTCTACTTTTATTGAACTCCCCTTAGCTACAGACAAGTTGATGAAGCACATCCAATATCCTTGCCTCTGGGGAGTGAAAGTACTAGGAATATAAGGGCTCCTTTTCAACATCTAACCTTTAGTATTTTTCTAATTTGTGTATAATGAAAGTATATCCTTTTACAGTAATTAAAAACACATTAGACCTAAAAGAGCCAATGAGTTTGTAATTCTCCTGAATTATCCAATACAATATCCAATACAGGCACAGAAACTCTTTAAAAAAAAAATATTAGGATGTGCAAGCAGTCCAAGGCTTCCAGATCTTTTGCTTTATTTTTCACAGTGAAAAGTAACACATTGTCTCCCTCTACAGGATTTGTAGAACATCACAGAGGAGCACATTACCTATCAAGTTGAAGAACCCAGGAACCAGCTGACCATTTGGCATGCTGAGCCCAGGGTGTTCACGGTTCCATGCATAACAGGGTGAACAGTGGGCCTCCTTTCCAAGCTTGACTACCCAAAGTAGCCAAATACACTAAAGGAATTACATCTTAAGAACAGATGGTGCGATTTAAAGAGTGTGTGTGTATGTGTGTGTGTGGGGGGGGGGCAGTTCATAAGAGCCACGTTCCCACATCTTTAGGGAACCAAAAGGCCTGTGTAAGCAGGACTCTCCTCAACCCTAATAATTACAACAGATGACCACGAACACCTTTGACTAGTAAACAGTGAGCTCTCCATCTGGAAGCACATGAGTGATTTGTGATTTTTGATAATGTGACACTTGAATGAGTTCAATTGAGTCTGCGATAGTTAGGGGTCTGTGTCAACATGAGTAGGCCAGGATTTCCAGAGGTTTGGCAGTTGAGATGTGCTAATTCCCATGGTGATAAAATCTAATACAGGAATGGTTAACTCTATGATGAGCAACTATGAGCAGCCAAACAATTAAAGGAATGCTTTCTTAGGGGAACAGCCTGCTCTAAATATAATGGACACTCAGGAAAGACATTCTGTCTTTTCTGCTGGGGACCTGGGACTTTGCAATTGTAAGCCATTTCCTTGATAATAAACCTCTCTCTCTCCATATATATGGCTGCTCTGCAGGAGAACGATGTGGCAGCCTGCTTCCATAAAGATGATGGCCTTATAAACACTATCAATATAAATTGATAGCAATGAGAAGACATGTTTAATGCCAGACCATATAGAGCTGTGGAACCTTTTCCATATCAATATAATACTCCATTGCATGGACATGTGTCAAATTTCCTATCCAAATGCCTGTTGATTAACTATCTGTTGAGCTATGGCAAATAATTCTTAATAGCTTTGCATTTCTTTCTTATAGGTGCACATTTTTCTATATATAAGATTCCTGGAATTGCCAAGGAAAATATATATTCTTTCTTTACGTACTATTTTTAATTATTAAAAAGATACCTTGCTCATTGTAACATGTCCTGTATTTGAACATTTCTGAATGTCATAAGAAACCACTGTTTAGCATTTTCATATGTGCTTCCCTAAAACTTCATTCATAAATTATAGTATGTATTCGGTTGGCCCAGGATCGGGCAATGTTTCATTCTGCTGTGCATAAGGTTGCTATGAGTCAGCACCGACTCAATGGCACATAACAACAACAACAACAACAACAATTCACACAAATATGCATACCTTTCACATATTTTTTCTTTTGCCAAAAAAAAAAACCAAACATGAAAAACAGACCTAACACAGCTCTTGCCTTACAGCTTGCTAGTGTTGCTAAAAGGGCAACAAGCCTCATTACTTAAAACAGCAGAAGCAGTCAACAATGTGGACAAAGTATCATACAAGGAAGCTTCTAAAAGTTTGCAAGGAAACAATGAAAAATAATGGAATAAAATAACTATTGACAATTTTATTCCTAAAATTTATCCAATAAATTGTACAAAAATGTGCAATAAGCACATATTATTCAAGATTGGTGTGTGAATGGCTGAGTTGAAGGGATCACTAACCTTGGTTGTGTGCCATGGAGTCAGTTCTGACTCATAGAGACCCTGTTCAGGGTTTCTAAAGCTATAAATCTTTACAGGAGCAGAAAGCTTCATATTTCTCCCATGGAACAGCTGGTAGTTTCGAACTGCTGACCCCGAAGTTAGCAGCCTGATTTGTAACCACTATGCTACCCTACTAACAAACGATTTTATTCCTAAAATGTATCCAATAAATTGTACAAAAATGTGTAATAAGCACGTTATTCAAGATTGGTGTGTCAATGGCTGAGCTGAAGGGATCACTCACCTTGGGATTGTCAAATTATGCTTCTGGGAAGTAACTATAACCAGGTTTAACTTCCAGAACAAGAGGACAATCAGGACATGGGCCCATGAATAACACTGCTGGGAGCAGGTTCCCCACAGAACAGTGAGTCTCAAAGTATTTCACAAATTCATTTACGACCACTTAGCTGTCCTACAAACTCATTGGCTCCAGGTTCCAAAGCATAAGATGCACAGGCCAAGCATCAATTATCCAGATCTAGAGAGTGAAATTCTGAGATGACAACGGCTTTTCTAAGGGTGTGACCATTAACCACATGCTGTTATTCTAGTGACAGCTTAAACAGAGAAACACTGAGGGAACACTGTAAATAGTTGAATTCTATATTTTATCGACTCTATCAAGTCTACATGTTAAAACTGAGCAGCAGTGGAAAGCGCCAAGGCTCAGGGAAGGTGAGCAGCTCCCTGGGTGGTCCAAATGACTAACTTACTAGGCTGATAAAAGAGTCTGGAGGCTTAAGACCACCCAGAAGTACAGTGGAAGAAAGACATGGTGAACTATTTCTAAAATATCAGCCATTGAAAGTCCTGTGGAACGCAGATCTAGTCCGACAACTCATGGGTTCGCCACAAGTTGGAGTTGACAAGATGACAACTATGTTTTTGTTTTCTGCTTTTTAGTCTTGTTAACAGATGCAGAGCTAAGGAGCATTTCTACTATTACTGGGAAATATGTATGTTATAAATGAAAATAGCAAGACACCAAACTGACTATCCTAGAATCATACACAGGAAAGGGGCTGACAGGAGTGTCCCAAATGGAACAGTGATCACAGTGGATGGTGAGGCTAGGGGTGCTTTGCATATTAGTCTTCAGACTTTTCTGTATTTCAAAATGTCTTATATAACCCAATAGTTCTTTTATACCCAGGCATCAGCTTTATGTAATACATCATCCCCATTCCATTCCAACAGGGTACACCCAACAATTAACACTTAAAAGAAAGAAAAAAGAGCGAATACATACTACATGAGGGAACGTCACACAGTTCCATGCGTACGTTTTTATTCTGGGTAAAGCACCATGGGCCTTCCATCTGGCCACCAGGGTTCCGGCAGTAGGCGTGCCCCCCTCTTAGCTCTGGGAAGTCGGCGCTGGACAAGTGATGGCTGTGAGGGTGCTGCAGGACCCAGGCCTGGCACTGGTGCCCTGACTTGGTGGTGCTGGTGGTCCCTCTGTAGTCTGTGCCTGAGCCGTTGTAGCACTGGTGGTCTGAGAGGGGGAGACATGTTGTTGTTGTTAAGTGCCGTCGAGTCGGTTCCGACCCATAGCGACCCTGTACAGGGTTTCCGAGGGTGTAAATCTTTACGGGAGTAGAAAGCTTCATTTTTCTCCCGCGGAGCGGCTAGTAGTTTCGAACCGCTGACCTTAAGGTTCGCAGCCCGATTCGTAACCACTACGCTACCAGAGCTCCTTAGGAGGCCCAAAAATCAAGTGGGGACAAACATCCTCTGGGTATACAAAGCCAACCCTCCTTCTACTATTTCAGAAACAAAACCACTTCGCCAACATAAACTCAAACTGGAGTTTCTCAAAGGTCATAGGATTATACAAAACTTCCAGGAAAAGTCACATTAAAAGCTATGACTTAATAAAGTTCCAAACCCACAAATTAAATCAGGGTGCATCAGGGACATATAGAGGAAAGAAAATCTATCAAAAGTTATTCCATGGCCTTAAAGCCACTTTTGGGGATCCAGCAGGCACCCACATTTCGCCTCCCTTCTCCACCACATGAGTGATGTCAACCCTAACCTCACATTGGTCCTCCTAGCAACAAACTGAATGCTACCAACAGGAGGACAATCCACACTCTCAGACCCCATCCTTCACACAATCATAGATGCTCAACCCCCACCCCTACTTACCCTTCCCAAGTATGGCCCTTAGGTTCAACCCCATGTGAGCAGGAGCAATGTACATGCACTTTGCTTGCTAAGTGGAGACCTAGGTCTTTGAGTCAGATACGGGTTCAACAATGTGCTGGCACTATTTTAGGAATGTTCTAGAGACAGTTGCTATTAGTGGCTGTCAAGTTGCCCCTCCCTCCTGGGAGTACCGCACACAATAGGATCCGACCATTGTGCCCGTAGGTTCATGTTCAAGGTGATCACCGGGCCTCTATTCCTGGTCTCTCACCCTGTTGACAGAGGGTGGTGGTTGTGCATGAGGAGCACTGGCTGAAGACTGAATCTAGGTCTCCTGTGCAGAAGGTGAACATCCTAATCGAACCAACACTGCCCCCATCTCAACTTTACAGCATAGAAGCATAGGGATCTCCATGTAACAAGGGACACAATGAAAGGTGAGGTTGAAGAAAGTGACTGGTTGGAGTGGAATCATACCCAACCCACTGGCTCTTAATACCCCATGGCTGCACTGAGAACAGGGAATTCTGTTAGATCACATGGGACTATTTGAATAAGGGCAGTTCCTGGTGAAAGTTACCCATCCTAACTCAAAAGGCTGGAGGTTTGAGGAGTGCTTCAGTAAGAAAGCCTGGTGCTCTGCTCCCAACAGTCAGCCACTGAAAAGCCTACTCCAACACCTAGGGGGTCTGAGCTGACTCAGTAATGAGTAGTTTGGTTGGGATAACAGCATCTGGACTGTGGAGTTCCAGCTGTAGCCCCTCTGGGCATTTCACACACCACCAAGCTCCCACCAGCACTCACAGCGACCCAGCCTCTCGGCAGGGATGCCAATGCGCATGCAGTTGGCAGCATCCGGGCTCTCAGGCATGGGCAGTGCCTCACACTTGGGCAGCTGCAGTTGCATGAGGATGAGAGGGTTGGAGCGGGCGATAGTGTACTCCTGGCGGCACAGGTCACTCTCCAGCACCTCGCACTCGTCACGGCACAGCTCACGGGGCTTGGGAGCCCGGGACCTCTCATCGCAGAGTGGGAACACAAAGTGGCAGAAGGACGGGATGGCAAATTGCGAGCACTGGTCCGACAGGTGCGTGGAGGTGCCAATCATGGTGAATGCCGCTGCAGAGACAGAGGAGAGCAGCAAGCGTTAAGGCCCCACGCCCTCTTCCCACCATCCACCCCCACAGAGAGGGTCCCAGGGATGGCTGTGCAGCTCTGGTTTGTTCCACATAGAGAAAGTCCTTGGTCTTAGGGCTTTACTTACTTACAGACAACAGAAATGTGGAAAAGAAAGAGGAAAACCAAGCTCAAGGATGATTCAGATTTCTCAGACATGGAATCCTGGTGTGGCGCTGTAGGATAAGCACTGGACCACAAGGTTAGCAGTTCAAGCCCACCAGCAGCTCCTTATAAACCCTATACTGGGTTATTGAGTCAGAACAGACTCATGGCACTTAACAATAGCAACAACAACAACCCTTTTCCTAAGGACTGGCTATGAACTGGGGATTTTGCAAGCAAATGAAAGGTATTGGCTGCAGCGGGCCTGGATGAGATCTAAAAGAAAACAAGGACTGGAGCCTTCCCAACATTTCACCATCTGTAAGAGGAAGGCACTGAGGAATAAGAGGCAAGGTGCCTCGTGGCAGCAGGAAATTCCCAGCCAAGAAGGAATCAAGTGTGTCCAGAAATACAGACTATCAGCTCTGTGCAGCTGGGCAAAACCAAGAACCAACGTGGAATCTGTTCATGGGGCTGGGCAGCGGCAGGACCCACCTGGGGGAGTTGTGATAGGGGAATGAAAATGGTAATAGCTGAAGAAGGAACTGGAGTCCGAGATGGGTCTTGTTTTTTGTTCTGTTTTTCTTTATGAGAGATTACAGGATGACTGGATGAGACAGTAAGGAACCACATCAGGGAAAAGCGTGAGGAGGCACAAGCTGCATACACCAGGTGTGTGCACTGGAGGGGACAAAGGACCCTTGGAAAGAGTGGGAAGGGTCAGACCATCTCTCCAGACACTGCAGTCAAGGTTCAAAGACTCACCAGTCTGTCCTGTACCCACCCCCAGAAGTTCCATTCCACATCTTCGTCTTTCTTCACTATCAGAAAACACCTGACTGGGCAAACCCCTTCCAAGACTGAAACTCAAAGGGAACATATGAGCAGACATGTGAACTCACTAGTGATTGCATTCTTGTGAGTGGAAGTGCAGGAAAGACAGCAATGCAGACATGGGCTGAATTTGAGCATGTTCCATAGGCTCCTGTCAACCTTGAGATGAGAAAGAGAAGAGGAAGTGCTGGTTGGTCTCCAGTTTGGGATGACATGGGAACTCCTGAGCCCATGGACACTGACCTAGCCATGGTGGGCTAGTGCTGAGACTAAAGTTTCCAATTGATTTGAAGATGGGGGAGGTGCACAAAAATGCCCAAACTTGACCTATTTTTGATGGCTTGATGATCATCAGAACACAACTAGAGGAAGATAAAGAAGTGTAAATTGCTAAAATTTGATGAACCTGACCTTTACTTATGGATGTAGTACCTCAAAATACCAACCAAGTGGGAAGGAGTATTCACATCAAAGATCAATGCTATCCCCTCAGTACACAGGGTTGATAAGGACAGGCAACTTAGACCTTGGCTACCTAAAATGGGAGCGTGGGGAGGAGCTATAATGGCACGAAGTGGCTGGCTTACAAGTTTTCAAGGAGTCTAGTTACAGAGCGAGCGGGAAAAGATAGAATCTCCTCTGAATAGTTTTCATCTTGTCTAGATGGGTCTGGTAAACGGGGTAGGATTCTTTTAGCTCAATAGTAATTGTTTTCATGACTAATTACAATGGTCACTACTGTAAAGGTAGAGGTTGTGTAATAAAAAGGGCAGGGGGAGTTAATGTTACATTCCAGGAATATCAAGAGAGAAGAGCATGCACAGAACATGGAATCCTAACCAGAGAAGCAAGAACACCAGAGACAGAGGCAAAGGTGATGGCATAGAGAGATAAAGCACCTGAGGACTCCACACTCATGGAAAGATTTAGGCTATGTGCTGGTGGGCAGGAGGCTGTTCTGCAAAATGTGCCCTTTGATTGTTTAAATGATTATATATTCCTGTGTGTATTTGTATATATATAAAGAAAAAGCAGGAACAGAGGAAAATACTGTTAACTGATGGTACATGGAGGGGATTATAATCATTGCAATGAAACAAACTACGATTTGTTGTTGTTGTTAGTGCTGTTGAGTCGGTTCTGACCCATAGCGACCTTCTATAGGGTTTCTGAGGAGCCACTGGTGAGCTTGAACCACCGATCTTGCAGTTCAAATGGCTTTGCAGTCTAACCTGCAGCGCCACACACCGATGTTCTCCCATGTAAATTATCACTCAATTCACAATAAAAGCAAAAAAAAAAAAAAAAAAAAGACCTGCTTATAATTACTTGGACACCTGAAGGAAATGCCCTTTTGTTTTTGTGTCCTGCTGCGGTTGTGCTCTTTGATCATGGGAGAATGAAGGGCTTCATGGAATCCCTGAGACACCTGAATGTAGTCCCTGCCTGGGCTCCCTCACTGCCCAGGTGCATGCCATACCAGCTAAGACCAGCAGGTGGCACTGTGACCACTCATTCCGAGGACCCAATCAGGCACAGGCACGGCAGCCACTAATCAACATGGGCAGGCACTTATTTTTAATAACTTAGTGTTGGGCCTAGTTCTAGATGTGTGTTATGCATTAGATGGTGGTCAGTTACTTAGACCTTATTCTTTGAGACTGCACATTAGGGAATGAAAGTCTGTATTCTCAAGGAAACCACACCCACTGCTGTGGAGCTGATGCCAACAGAACAGAATAGAACTGCCCCATAGGGTTTCCAAGGGTGTCCTGGTGTGTGGCGCTGTGAGTTAATGTGCCAGACTGCAAAGCCATTTGAACTGCAAGGTCAGCGGTTCAAGCTCACCAGCAGCTCCTCAGAAACACTATATGGGTCAGAACCTACTCCAAAGCACTTAACAACAACAAGTCTTTATGAAGAAAACTGACTCATCTTTATCTTGCAGAGAAGCCCAGAAGTTCAAATTGCTGCCCGGGCTTAGCTCACATTGCCACCAGGGCTCCTTGAAAGCCTGTACAGAGTCAAAACATATCAAATAGCATACCATCTAGATGAGTACCAAGCCACAGAGTTGGGTTGGCTGGACTTGGGCTTCCAGGCAATGGATATGATTTAGTGAGGTGAGAGCAGAAGGCGCTATTCTGTAGATTTGGTTCTCTGAGCTCACCTCAGTCCCAGGACCCTGTCCAGTATCTATCCACATTATCCAGAGTCCTCACTCCTTTCGGCAGACAATGTTATTGAGAAATAAAGAGGTTATGGTTCAGGGTCTGTCAGAGTTAGTGTAAGAACTGACTTTGGGCACATACTAGGTAACTATGGAGAGAGTTGCAGAGAACATGCTAGCATTGATGTAGAGAAGATTGAGAAGACCCAATCGAAAGACTAAGATTGAGAAAATGCAATCGGTAATTCCTCTTGGGGCAATCAACTAACAGGATGTCACACCTGACCCTTTACAGTTTCCAACTCCTCCTTTCAATCAGAGTTCCTGGGCAGTACAAACAGCTGACCTGCTTGGCTACTAACTGAAAGGTTGGAGGTTCAAGTCCACAGAAAGGTACCTCGGAAGAAAGGCTTGGCATCCTTCCTCCCTCCACATGCAACCATTAAAAACCACATGTAACACAGCTCTACTCTGACACACATGGGTAGCCATGCTCCATGGAAACTTATTCTGCTCCCCCCACCCCCCACCCCCAGAAAGTACAGTTCTAGGCAGCAAGGAAATCAAAGAAGTCACTGCCTCATTTTCATCCAGATCATGAAGGTCTCATGGAGGTTTCTTTGGGCCTGCCCCATAAGTCCTTCCTTCATTTGCTGATGGGGCATAACTCTAAATGATGAGAAAAAGCTGCAAATATCCATTAATAAGCAGAACATGAAATGCATGAAGTATGAATCTAAGAAAATTAGATGTTATCAGAAGTGAAATTGAAACCATAAAGATTGATACTTCATGCATTAGTGTGATGAAATGGACAAGTATTGATCATTTTGAATCAGATATAGTTCCATATGCAAGGAATAAGGAACCCTGGTAGTACAGTGGATTATGAGTTGAGTGGCTAACTGCAAGGTCAGTTTGAATCTGCCAGTCGCTCTGCAGGAGGAAAATGAGATTCTCTGTTCCCATAAAGATTCATAGCCACAGAAACCCTATACAGGGCTGCTATGAGTCAGAATCAACTCCATGGCACACAACCTCCAACCACCACAAAGAACACCAGTTAATACCACTATTATTCAAATTTGTGAAACAACCTCTAAAGGCAATGATGATGAAGTTGAAGAATTCTACCCATTCCAAAGATAGGTGACCTAACAGAATGCAGAACTCATTGGGCAATATCATTAATATCGGATTAAAGCAAAATTTTGCTGAAGATAATTTTTAAATGGCTTCAATGGTATACTGACAGGGAACTGCAAGAGATTCAAGTTGGATTCAGATGATTATGTGGAATGAGGGATATCATTGCTGATGTCAGATGGATCTTTGCTAACAGCAGAGGCTACCAGAAAGATGTTTGCCAGTGCTTTACTAACTATGCAAAGGAACTTGACTGTATGGAACATAACAAATCATGGATAACATGAATAGGTATTTCAAAACACTTAATTGCGCTCATGAGGAGCCTCAACATAGACGAAGAGGCAGTCATTAGAACAGAACGAGGGGATACTGAAAGGCTTAAAATCAGGAAAGGTAGGCATCAGAGTTAAGTAATCTGAAAAACTGGATTAGATGAAGAAGAACATGGCATTAGGATTGGAGGAAAACACCTTAACAAACTGTGATATGCAGATGATACAACTTTGCCTGCAGGAATTGAAGATGACTTGAAACACTGATGAAGATCAAAGACCACAGCCTTCGGTAGGGGTTGCACCTCAGTGTAAAACCATCACAAATGGATCAATAAATAGCATCATGATAAAAAGAGAAAAGATTGAAGTTATCAAAGACTTTTTTGGGCTTGGATCTACAGCAATGTTTA